TACCGGCCTCGATAAACATTGGGGTGTTCGAGTGAACACCTATAATTCTCGGTACAATTTTGCGCCGCTGAAACAAGCATCTGGTGAATCAGTGAATGTATTAATTTCCCGTGTTGTTTGCTGGGTTCGAAAGTGTGACTACAATAGTATACCTGAGAAAAAAGTGGGAGAAACGATGCTAATATAACAATTTATTTCTGACCTCACGGATTCTCGGATCAGAGATAGTCTCTTAATGAAGAACGCAGAGAAGCTCATATGGGACAGGGTCTGTGACGTGTCTCGCGCAAAAGGGTCGCAGTCAGGGAACAAAACGAAATTTCCTCTCTAACACAGGAGCTTCTGAAATTGACCGTTTGGATTCTACACGCTCTCTGACGCGATCATTAGTTAAAAATAAGTGTTACTGTTGTGGAAATACTGAACATCGTGCAAATGATAAGTCATGTCCTGCAAAGGGTAAAACCTGCCAGAATTGCGGTAAGACCGGTCATTTTGCTCGGATTTGTCGCTCCCGCGCCATTTATTTGGTTGATTCTACAAATGACTCTAGAGCTTCTCCGGTCACCAGAGCCATTCTCGATTGTACAAAACCATGCAATGTTACACAGATGAAACATTTCTTGGGTATGCGTTTTTATCACCTTCGACATTTACCGAATTTTGAGACTATTACTGAGCCGTTACGGAGGTTGACGCGCCAAAACCAGGAGTTTCGTTGGGCCACTGAACAAGACAATACTTACATGAGCATACGAGCGATGCTTGAATCGGCGCCCGTAGTAGCGATCTTCAATGAGTACTGTCCAATGTTTATTCCAACGGATGCTTCAGATGTTGGCTTGGGTGCAGTTCTGTCCCAGCTACACGGTGGCGAGGAGCAAGTGATTGCGTAAGCACCGTGTACCTTGTCTGATACTGAAAGAATTATTCCACCGGCGAGAAGGAGGCCTCGCATGCGTCTGGGTATGTGAGTAATGGCACTTTTACTTATTCAAACGTCGATTCACTTTGCGCACCGATCATTCTGCTCTTACAACGCTACTAAGTCGCGGTAACAAAGGCCAAAAGCCGGTACGCTTGAGTCGCTGGTACTCACGTTTATTGAACTATGATTCCGAAATAAAATAGGTTCCAGGGTGCTTTAACCAACTTGCAGATGTCCTGTCGAGGATCCCACTGTCAAACGAAAGGAAAAAAATGATATCGCAACTCTCAGACGGAACATTTACAATAACATTTGACCTGTTACGGGAGGACACTGACAATGACCCTGTCCAAGTGAAGCTTCGGAGTACATATCCACTTCATGGCTCAGTCGTACCAAGATCCAACCTGAGTTGCTTCCACACTATACCCTATGGCACGAGCTTTCTACTGTGAGCAACCGCATTATTAGAGGCGTGCAGGTTGTGGTCCCTGCAACTCTGATTCCTCTGATGGTTGTACGTGCGCATGAATGTCATCCAGGGATTGTGCGAACAAAAGCTCAGATACGACGATACTATTGGCGGCCGAAGTTGAATGCCAGCGTCGATGCGGTTATTCGGGAATGTTATGCCTGGCAACAATCCGATAAGAGCGCGGGGCCCCTAAATGCTCTAGTCCAACCTATCGTTTACCCAGTGAAGCCATGGGCAAACATTGTCATCGATATTATGGACCCGTTGGACAATGCACCCCCGCAGAAGCGAAAGGTGCTAGTGGCTACATGTTTCTACAGCAAATGGCCAGAGGCTTTTCTATGCGGGGACGTAAGTAGAGCCGTCATCATAAAGTGGCTGCGTTGTTTGTTTGCAGGGTACGGTTTGCTAGAGGAAATAGTCACTGATAACGGCTCATATTTTCGAAGTAACCAGTATGCTAAATTCCTAAGGCGCAATGGGGACTGTACCTTATAATCCTGCAGCGAATGGACTCGTCGAATGACTTAATCGTACTTTGAAAGAATCACTATAAGTCCTTCGGCTTTCGAAAGAATCCTGGGTATACAGAACCACACAACAGACTCCACGATACGATTTAACGGATAACACCACATGACATTAAATTAGCTCGTACATGGACATGTAGTGCCTACAGTGTTATGAACAGAGGAGAAGACAATGCCGTGGTCAAATACTTGGCTTTGTTTTTGCCCTCGATTCGTTTATCCTACTCACACTTCTATTTAGCACTCGAGACGTTACGGCACATGGCTCGCCACCGACACCAGTGGAGCGTCTGCTGTCCTCTACTAATCGAATTACCAGTTTAAAGTGTTTGGTGCTGCGTTATCTGCAGAGTAATGGCTGGTTATGATGCGCGGCAGTAAAAGCCGCAAATAAGCTGTCTCGCCGATGCCACCTTGTCTTTGCACGATAGCAAGCTGTTTGTAACGCTTAGTTGTTAACACAAAGTGTAGGCGCCTTGACCCATGACGCCTGCTTAAGGCAGCTAGGTTTTCAGGTAAGTCCCGCTTCTTTCCCTTTTATTATTCTTTATTTCATAGGTCATCATGGGTGTATGGCAGCGAAGCATCAATTCAAATGACTCATCATCATCAACAGCAGTACAACAGCCATTTGAACTGATGCTTCGCTACCATACAACCATAATGACCTATGAAATCAAGAATAATAAGAGAGAAGGGGTCTTAGCTGAGAACCTTAATGTCCTAAGCAAACATTCAGGGTCAAGGCGCCTACACCTTGTGTTAACAACATACCGTCACTAACAGCTGGCTATCGTGCAAAGATAAAGGGGCTGATGTATTGCTGTTGCGGATGATCAACATTAAATAATAAATAACTGCTAAGAGACCAGTTCGTGAGCCGTGCTACTGAGACAAATTTTTTGCCACATCCAGTCATTAAAAGAACTGTTACTCAGCGCAACCACGACCGGTGCAGTAAATTCATTTTATCATTCACGAGTGTCACATTGGTTCTGTGCAAATAAATTTATAGGAGTCATAATGCAAAACTGCGTATGCAAGACTACGTCAAAAATTTAAGTAATTGTTGCGTAACCGAAATTTGTCTTACTGGAACGGCCGAAGGCGAATACATCGGGCACTAAGGGTAGTCTAACGGTTAGTCGCGCTGACTAAGGGCACAACATTATTAAAAACTGTAAAACTGATGGCGATACTGATACACTATATTATGCAACGAAAAACTTAGATATACAAGGCTACTTCATCTCAGTTCCCCCAAATTTACCATGGCTACCGAGGACGTTAATATAAGATAGCTTACCGCGTTATCGGCACGGGTGGGTGGCTAAACATGTAGTTAGGAGCATAGGTATGAAGAGGACAGGAAACAAAAGGAACAAGATGTCTGAATATGACGTTGAATGGTACATCGTGTATTAAAAGCGCTATCCATCGTAGCTTATCCATCGCTTTTTAAATAAAAGTCTGCACCCTGACGCCGCGAGTGACCGATAGGCCGCCGTTAAATGACTGACTGTTGCTATCCTGGCCATGCTAGTGAGGCAAAATTATGTCATATAACGCCAACATAAAAGTTTCAAGTTTATCATTAAAGATATACCAAGGCAATATGATGTACTGTGATCCAATTTATGATGAACTCGGTGTAATTACGATATGGAAAAAATGCACGTGGTAGAACTGCAGATGAGCATTTTGCTTGTGCTAAAAGTTCATCCAAACGTGGTCACACTGGAACGACCAGATATACAATTCTGTGCAGCTTTGATAATCCACCGGTCATTTCTACGTACGCAACTAAATAAATAAATAGTATATGCTCGATATAGTGAGGCAGGCTTGTAAAGGTATGGTCATAGCAACACTAACACGAACGATTGGTAAAGGTAGTATAATGTTGCAACGTTAGCAGTATCATACTGGAGCTGTGATGCCTACTTGTGTGTATGTCGGTATGTTTGCGGCTGTGTTGCTTGAATTTGTAGACTCGATGCCGTAGTTGTGAGTGTTCTAACTGCCGTCTGTTTGAAGATTGAAAGGGAAGCTTAGTACTGGATGACGCCTCCGCTGAGTGTGTATAGCCTTGACTTTATCTAGTGGCGAGTTACGATCGTCATGTCGCAGTGTTGTTAAGCAGACATTTGTGGTTTTTTATAGGGTGAACGCTTGCCAGGCGGAAAACCACTACGTCGCAAAACAGCTGCCAAACCATTAGCTGGAACAGGAGTAACCTGAACAACCAAACTGGCACCACAGGATTGTTCGGCTGGCCAGCTGTATGCTGAGCACACATCTATTTGTGCCAGCAGGACATGTGTAAACCATCAAAATCCCATAATGAATGGAAGCGCCGTTCATCTTTGACAGCCTTAGTATAGGACAACGAGAAGGAATGAACATACGAAAGTGCTGAAAGGTATAGTACCGTGCAAGCCAAAAAGGTAAAATTATAACAATAATATGGTTGAAGCTCACATCCCTTTAGTATTGCAAGATAACAGCGTTAATTGAGGTATTAATCGTCAACAAACGCAGTAAATTGATGGGTGCATTGTAGAGATGATAAGGTAAGTGAGAAGCCAGAGTGAGGCACTAGTGAACACTGAAGCTTTCTGAGTGGCCTATATGAGACTTAGACGTCGCAATAATAAGACGGTTTCTCAATGGAACGTTCGCAAGCGCATCTCTTACACATGATGTGAATACATATTTCTTCGTAACAGGTACCGCTCACGTCTTAGAAAATGGATTCCGATAGCATCCTAACGCAGGTTTGAGAATGTACGACTATGCTGCACAATTCAGAAGGTTAATTTGGAAGCATAGTCTCTCTCACAGGGACTGCAAGTGACATAAGGACTGGCCACTCAGCAGGACAGGCAAATTTATAGAAAAAACGACTTAAAAAGTTAACCGATGGCAGCAAAGGTGCGCTACAGTATGCACTGTAACACTGCAAATTTCCGAATGACGAAAACACCCAAAAATAGGACATTGACAAACACCGTAGCAGCCAGGATGACAAACATATCAGAAAGCAAAGCCACAAATAACAACTCACGGATAAATGAAATCTTTCTGAAGAAGAGTCTAGAAAATGCACACAAACTACTATATCGTGCGTTGTTGATCTAGAACTTTCCGAGTAAGATTTCATTGTTTGGACAAACAAATTATTGCCAGGGAAAGTAAAGAATAGGACGCCAGCACACCAAGTAAATTTTCGAAGACGCAAGTATGGCAACAAAACTTCGTATAAAGCATCCGAATGTCTTAGTAAATTAATCACAAATTTAGGCAGGATAATACCAGGATGCGGTGAAACTATCGTGCGACTGCGAATAGCATTATTATTAAATAGCGTTGACTGATTTTGATCATCAATAGGCTCGTAAACGAAACCTAATCTCCTTGTTCAATGTACATGCAGCATGTGATAGGATTTAATATAAATTTTGGTCACAGTATGTCAGACACTGATGTAGACAACCATGCGTTACTGTGCTTCAGGTTCTGCAAGGCGTGTAGACAAATTTAAATATATTTTTGTTCGACACAATCAGCCGACAATTCAGATATGTCGACCAGCTATCCGGAAAAGCATCTAAATATAGTTAAGAGGAGCTGGTTATTGAATCCACATGAAACTGCCATGTTTTTGGCAGGTTTGCAGTAAGCACCATGTACATTTATAATTATTTCACACGCGGTACAGATGTGCTTATTTGTATAACGGGATTTATTTTGTTACAGTGGCTACTGTGACCCGCATAAGGAATAATATTTACATGCACGTTATAGATATAGATGCATGTATTTAGTAAACTGGTTGGTACACAAAGCTTCAACCCGGTTACAACGTTTAGTTCTGGTATCGTTGCTCAAGTTGGGATCTACAGGCGTCGAAGAATCGTCCGCAACCACCTAAGTACGTTTACGATCCACCTTCTAGTGACACCTCTCCTGGCCGTGGACCCTTAATGTCGGTACATCGGGTGAGTACAAGGACAAGAGTACAAGCGCTATGGAAATTTAAAACAACATTGTCTTGTAGAAATTTAATATTTCGTGTTCTGCCACCAAAATCTTTAGGGACCTTATACATTTTCTATTCTGACTCATTGAAAATTTCGACTAAACCCCTTCAAGCGATCTTACTGAGTATCCCTTGGAAAAATTACTAGACAATATACAGTCACTCACTTTCGTTCATTGGTGTGTGGAATGCGGAGGGCTAGACTTTTGTCTGCTACATCGATACCGATACAGTATAGATTTGACTCAACCAGCTACGATGGATCGTTCCTCGATGAATCGTCACCGTTGCAGGATGAGCAGCGGAACCTATTCGTAATCATCAGATGACAGGCAAGCAGCTCTTTACAACTTCCTCTATCTGTACCTTAGCAGTGAGTTCTGATAGGCTGTTCCATTCATTTAAGACACGAATTGATAGGGCATCCCCTGGCCCTAAGTGTTGTAGTGGACGGTTGTAAAGCTTCCACTTGTGGCATTGTGTCGAGCTGTCCACGTTAAGAGGAAACGGTTTTTCTGCCTCACTCCCAAACGCTTCTCATAGGATCCGTCTGGCGTAGATAATATCTCCTCGGCGCCGACGATGATCCATGGGAAATACGTTCAGCTTTCGGAGTGGAAGGTGGTAAACAAGATCTGGGAGTTCCTTCGCGGTGTTCGAGATAAGCTTCTTACCCACTTCTAGCAAGGCACATGCAGCTTGCAAGAAGGGATATTTTACTGCAAGTCCATACTTCAATTTAGGGCAAACAGCTTACGTGAACACAATACTGAAAATTTCCGTATTGATACGGGAGAACGAACTAAATGGAGTACCCATCATCCTGCCATCGCAATGAGGCTGGACCTTACCGTGGTGCGATGGTTCGTGTGCCTCAGCGATCCATTGAGCTATGCTGGGTGGTGCATTTGCACCTTCAGAGTCACTCATACCAGATTGGTCAATGGTTAGAGGCCAGACAAACTCAGCCTCCTGGCCCTCCAGGTTGGGGGTTGGAATGAGGGTGGCACCTTATTCCTTAAAACGGACTCCTTGTAGTCCAACGCCAAACCCGCTGCATTGCGGTCAGGTTTTTGAACCAAAGGCTTTGGTTGAGAACCCTAATCGTTCTCCTGTCTAGGCCTGGGCAACCTGACAGTATCCTGCCCACGCAATACAATGAATCACATTTCAAACAAATTGCTGATGCTCTGGCCACCGCAGAGGATAATCAACGGTGCCCTATCTGCTGCATCGAGCAGGGTGGATAGGGGTTTGGATGCTACTTCTCAAGCCTTCCCGTCTTCTTATTCCCCATCTTACGCTTTTTCACTCTTACCGTCCCCTTCCAACTTCACTTATATCCCCCCAGTTTTCAACCCCCCGATCCTTGGCCCTCCCCCAACATGCTTTGCTAGGCATTTTTCTTCTAGTTTCAACTCACATGTGAACGCGGAGCGTCATTTCTGCCCTGTCAACACAGGCCCATGTCCAACCAAGCGGTCCATTCCAGTTCATCGGCTTCCATTTGGAGCCCTCGATCCTCCTTCAGACTGGCATGCCTTAATGTACGCACACTACTACAGATCGGTCAACAGGCAGCACTTGCCCGAACAGTTTCCCATTTTATGGCCATATCGACAATCCTACCAGATTCAGAGCAGCAGAAAGGCCGTCCATCCTGGACCGGATATTTACCAACGAAGAACTCATGGTCGAGAAAGTAATCATCGACGCTCCGTTGGGTTGCAGCGATCATGCAGTTTTACTCTTCGATTATATATGCTACGCAGAATACCCTGCGGATACTACATGGGAAAGCCGAGTTACCATACGGTACGATGAGCTGGCTCGACTTGCAGAGACAGCCAGCTGGAACTTTCTGACAGACGAAGTACCGACAGTCGCATGGCTACATTTCGTCAACCAATTTAGCAATCTCGTCGAAGAGGCATCCGAAACTAAGGTTGTCCACTCGAAGAAGACTGTTTCATTTGTGCGAAGTAGGACACGGAAATGTATGGCAGTGAGGAACTCGGCCTGGCATATCTATAAGGAACACCCGAGCACGGAGAGCTGGCTAGCCGAACAACCTCCTCGTGGTGCCAGCTGGTTGGTTCGGGTAAATCCCGTTCCAGCGAACGGTTCGGCGGCAGTGTTCCAGGATGTGATGGGATTTCGCCTGGCAAGCGTTCATCCTAGAAAAAGCCACAAGTATCCGTTTAACAACACTGTGACGTGGCGGATGTGACTCGCCACTAAATAAAGTCACGGCCTCTTCCCTTTTTCGGAGGATCATTCACAAATCACGGAAGTCATCTGATTCAAAGCGTTCCATTGATTCCCGCTTTGATGGCGTACACGGCGAACAAGTGCACACAGTCACATTTACCTACTCACACAACATCTCCCTTTCCAATACACAGTTAAACATAGTTTTACATCTTAACACACACATAAATTCCCATGCTATTGTTCGAAATGTACTAATTTGTGCAATTGCTGATCATACATGTCTGTAATACCATGATCACGCCCTTGATGGTGTGCCTCGCAGTGACAAGAATAAACCATTTATTTATTTATTTATTCAACGTAATCATTGCACTCAACTCGTTCGGAGGATAAACTGACATACCAGCAGCATCTGACGGAGCGCATGGTTTCGAAGCATAAGCTGCTCTACCAACATGTAATCAACCTGCGTAAGGTGAAACGGGGAATCCCTCCTCTTCAAACGCCAGATGGCATGACGCTGACTACGGAGGATGCGGCGAACGCCTTGCGGCTGCAATATGCTTCAAACTTTCAATGCATTCCTTGGTCATCTGTTCCTTTGTCAGCAACTGTTTTACAACCAAAACTTACGCACATAACTTTCACGGTGGGGATGGTATTAAAGAAGTTGTTGCGTATGCGTAAGCACAACTCTCCTGGAATCGACAACATTCACCCTAAGTACCTTGCGGTAATAGGAGAAAGTTTAGCAGAGCCTCTGGCACGATTATTTCAACGCTGCTTCGATCAGATGTATGTACCCGAGATGTGGAAATGTGGGATCATAACCCCAATTCACAAGGGCGGTAGCCGTTCTGATCCAGCCAACTACCGTCCTGTAACCCTTCTCCCGGTCCTGTCAAAGGTTATGGAAGCTATTGTTGCTGACGTATTAACAGCCTATCTAGAAGAGTCTGCCTTCCTTGCACATGAACAGCATGGTTTTCGACGGAATCGATCGTGCACCACAAATCTGCTGCTAGCAAGATCGAGTTGGAGCATATTAATGGACAGGGGTGCAGGAGTGGACGTGGTCTACCTAGATTTCTCAAAGGCCTTCGATCGACTAGACCATGGAATCCTGATCTGCAAACTTCAGAGCTTCGGCATTGGTGATCCCTTCCTAGGATGGATCACAAGCTTTCTTCTCCACCGGAGCTTAGAGGTAAAAGTGCGTGGGTCCCTGTCCCACCCAATCCAAGTCGAATGTGGCGTACCACAAGGATCGGTACTGGGGCCAAGGTTGCTTTTGATGTATACTGACGACATAGCGGCCCTCATTCTTTCCAACTGCCTACTCTATGCCAACGACATCAAGGTCTGGAGAGCGATCAATACACCAGGCGACTCTGCAATACTTCAAGAGGATCTGGATCAGGTGTATGCGTGGTCAGTTCAGAACCAACTCCCACTCAACACAGAAAAGTGCAGAGTATTACACTTACGTCACCAAACAGCATTTTTCTATAAACTGGGTGACCATGTACTTAACACAACTGCTGAGGAAAAGGATTTAGGAGTCTTGATTCAGTCCGAACTTGGTTGTTCAGCCCAGGCAAAGAAAGCAGCGAACGCGAGCATTCGAAATTTGGGCCTTCTCCGGCGTACATTTGGACGCTTCGATCCATCCGTTTTTCACCAACTTTGAAAATAAGAAAAGCGGAGGCCCTAACACCATGTAATGCTGCGAGCGGGAATGTCTTGTTTAGCGCACTAGTGTGCAATATTCCAGACGATATATGGGTGAAAGCATTTAGGTGTGTACTCAGTGCGGTTAATGGCATGGCAGAGAATGCACTGCAGGTTCAACGACGGCCCAAGTGTGTACCCAACTTTGCGGCTCTCACCAAACTTAATGTAATTGATAAGACAGTATTGCGTACTCTCATAGTTAACCGAGAGCAACTGCAATACAACAATGCTGAGCCAACTTATCTTCGGGCCGCTGGAAAGAAGCTTAAGTTAAGCTGTGACAACCCCCAACGTCAACACAGGAATTAGTCAAGGAGAGCCCAGAGCATCCATTAAAAACCAACTAGCGGCTTAT